ATATTTATAGTACAGAGAGAGAAGGGTCACAATTATATGCCATTTCTTTCCTCTGCTGCTTTGGCACTGGAACAAACTTCAACAATAGACAAGAGTGCCCCTGGATGTGAGCATGGAATCTTTTATAATTATGGAAAATATCTCATGTGGTAGAAAACCACAATGTCACACATGCGGAGTGGGTGTGAGTCAAAGGCACAAGTACGGCAGTGGCCTAAAGGAAGCCAGAGGGACCTCTAACCAGGCACGGATCCTCCTGGTGAGGTTTAGCAGTTTGAAGAGGCTAGCGGAAGGCATTGGTATCTTTAGCTAATTCTTTGCACAGAAATCTGTCCTCCTTATCCCATGACTCTTGCTAAGGATTTTCCTATTGCTTTCTCAAAAGAGGCTTATCAATCCACAATGCTAGTAGCAATGAACGAGTGTACAAAAATCAAGATCAGGGGCCATACTAGGTCTGTGAGTTAGAATTTCTCTCATTCCTGCTTTAATATACTAAATGATAAAAAATTCTCTCTTTTCTATAGGACAATTTAAATTTGTTAATGAAAGAATTATGTAATAATAGTGGTATCTTGGTAAATTGCTCTCAAAAACAAACAAATCAATCAATTAACCAATTCCTGGTTTGTGGCATTTGCCAATTTCTGGTACCGAAAATACTCTCACCATGGGCAATTTTAAGGGACAAATGTCATGTCTCTAAATGTGAAACTGGGAACAAAATCCAATGGAGAGCTGGTAGGAGCCAGCTCTAGGACATCACTGAATTGGGCACTTTGTTCTTAGGGAAGTTGCTATTGTAGACTCTGTGCTTGCCATTGTAGCATCCCTGCTCTTGTATACTTGGACTTTAAAGGCTACTTTCTATTACTGTTTGATCGCAAATGAGATAGTTATGTAAATCTAAATTGTATCTTACACTTAACACACATTCTAGAGTTTAGAGGGAACAGAAAACTTTCATTATGGGCTCAAGAACAGAATCTTGTTATAATAAGTCTCTTTTCCCTTTATAAGTCTCCATGTCACCCCAAACTCTTCCAAATCAGGATTCACTTGGTGAATCATCCCACTTTTAAATGATAAAAGCATGGGGCAGAGGACAAGCCATTTTCGTTGGAGGATTCACTTAGCTCCCACCTGGGAACCCAGGTGGCACGTCCCTTCCTTGTCCATTCTGCAGTTGCAGTGCTAGTGGTACTAGTAATGCAAGTGGTGGCAGGAGTTCCCATTATTCTTTGGGGACAGGAAAGTTGAGTGGACGGGGTGGTGTATGGAGGGGAAATAGCCTTCATGTTTCTCTAGCTGGTTCATTGCCATCTGAAACTTGGTACTTCTTGCTGCCCATTAATTTATAATAAAGGTGTGGATACTAACCCTTGGAAGCCATAGAGGTAGGCTTATTCTCTGCCTATGTAAAATATCCTTACTACATGCCCTGTATTAAATTAGATGGAATTTGGTTAATGCATATCTTTCTTGGAAGGCTCCGGTATTTGTCCCAAACCTTCTGGAATAAGGGTACAATGCTATTTTATACATTTATATCAAGCCTCACGGCTTAGGTAGTCTTCAGTTCCCAGGCCCTTGCGGGTATTGTGGTATTATAAAGAATACATCTGGTCTTTGTCTCTGATTATTGGTAAAGATCTTCAAAAACCCTTGGAATTTCCTGAGTCATAAAAGTGTCTGTTATGTTACTGAGGTACTTGTGGTGGGCCCCAAGATAGCTTCCCAATGGGGGATGGTCACCAGAAAGACCAAGTACATGATTTGTGAGTTGGGACTTTCAGCAGTCCATACTCCAGGGAGAGAAGAGAGGCTGGAGGTTGAGTTCCATCACACGGCCAATGATTTAATCAATCATGCCACTGTAATGAGATACCAACAAATACTCTGAATGTCAACACTCAATGGAGCTTTCTGGTTGGTGAACATACGGATGTACTGAGAAGGTGACAACTTCTGACTCCCTCAGGAGAGGGCACGGAAGCTCTGTGCTCTCTCCCAGACCTCATTCTTTATAATAAAACTGTAATCATTAAGTATAACACTTCCTTGAGTTTTGTGAGTTGTTCTGGTGAATCATTGAACCTGAGTGGGGCGTCATGGGGAACTCCTGAATTTTTAGCCAGCTGGTCAGAAGTGTGGGTGGTCTGGTCCCTTGCAGCTGATGTCTATAATGAGTAGTTAGCACCAGAAATGTGTTGAAGTACACCCAGTTGGGAGTGAAACAGAACAGGTGTCTCACAAAAATATTCCTTTTTTCTAACTCTCTTCCCCTCCTCCCCTTACTTCTGGCTGTCTTGTCTCCCTCTATTATGTTTGCCATCACACCCAGGGCCACCTCCCCCCACTGCTTCCAGGTTTTGTTATTTCTTCCTATAGAATAAAGAAACCCGTCTCTTACTTTCCTTGTGTTTAAGAAATGTTGTAATATAAGGTATCAGCTTAAAGTTAATGGTTCCCTCTTCCACACAACTCTACAAAGAGAACTTGGCTTAGAAGAGACTTGGCTTTTCTCAGTGTCTGGAATGGCTCCACAAGAGGTTGAAACGGGGTGGGGGGCAGCAGTGGGTGAGAAAGGGTAAGCTGTGGCTCTGTGCATAAAAGAGGGATTTTTACCCTAAGGTCTTGCTAATTTTCTCCTCAACTATTTGAAGTCAAACACACCGTACCATCACAAGGATGATTTCCTTTCCCTCCAAACAAGAACTTTATATTTCTTTTAACTTTGTCTTTATTATGCCAGGGGAC